ATACTTTCCCTCCTTTCGGTGTATTGTCTTCTGCCCATTCTTACTGTTGCCCCTCCTTTATCCGTCTGAAGGACTAATTTTGCATGCTTTTGTCTGATCCTGTTTATTCATGTTAATCTGTTCTTATTTGTTGGCTTCAGATGTGCCAAGATACTTTGGCTTATTTCCATATAAATTTCCCGCTTTATATCCTCAGGGATGACCTCCACAAAGATGTCGTTTTGAAGATAAAAGTTCACTCATTTCTCGAGACTCGTGGTGGTATCAGGATAAAGGGGAATTAATGTCTCTTTGAAAACATAATCAAGTTGCGAAAACGAGGTCACACAACTTCCATACATCAAAAGGGAGCTGTGACAAAAATAGAGGCCATAACACTTTGGTCTTCATATTTCCACATAATCTATGGTTATTAGATATGTAGAAAAAATGGGTTTCAAATAATCCCTTAGTAGATTTATGTTGGAGTACCTTTCATTTATTTTGAAGAGCCGAGTGGAAGAGATTCGTAATTTGGTTCCATCGGAGGCTGTGGGGCATTAACTTGGAGCTGCGGTTGTAAATTTGTGCGAATAGGTCCTCGGCACATCGCCCTGCGACCCCAATCAATTCTTGCCGAGTTTACAGCCGTCACGTGAAGGACATCGTCAGAGCAGGACACCATGATTAACGATAATTTACTAAAAACACAAAGGCAAGAAAGGTGCCCGGCTTCAAACCTACTTCCTTCTTACATTCCAATTTGATCCACTTATGCATCTCATGTTTTCGTTCGATGTCCTATGCTTTGCCTCGATATTTGCTCATAAGTTAAGTGGCTGCGGATGGTATGTGAAGTGGCTACAAATGAAGCGTGAAATGGGTGCAATTAAATCCGAACAGCCCCATCCTCCCCCAAAACACTTATTCCTTTTATCCTGAAAAGAAAGACCAAGACCCTATAATATCACATTTATAGTGAGATTGTCGACGAGGCAAACTTGAGTTTTGCCAATACAATTGAATACGTAACTCATATTTACAGAAAGTAGGCCTCAAGATTCATATTCAAGATCTCATAACACTCTTTCTTGAATAGGAGTAGCGCAGAAAATTTTGATAAAAAAGTGTACGTTTGCCTTATCGACAAGGGGATACTGAAGCGGCCTGCTCGTCTTTAACGTTTACGCTTATTCCGTGATACACGGGCTCTGATTGCAGCTTAGCAGTAGTAAAATTATAAGCCTCACTACCCACGCTGGATTCTAACTAAACGTGTCGAGACCCAGGCAACGTCGAAGCCTCAACTTATTCTAGATGAGAATACACATCGGGAAACAAAGTAGTGTAATTTCATGAAAAAGAAAGTCTTATTAGAATCATTAAGAAAATTTAGCTATTAGTCTCTTGCCACATGAAATCTAGGGTGACTAGAATCATATTAAAGATTTAGCGATAGTCTAGAAGCCTACTTTATATAAAAATACGACTATTATTATGAAAATCCGCCTAATGCCACTTGTCATCCGAACTGTCACACGGGCTCGATTTCAGGGTATACACAACTCACTTACTCTGGAATATATGCATTACCTAGATGCCCTTGAAAAATCGCCCCTCATGTTAAGTCAGCTTATTACAGTGTGGGTTCGACATTGTTTTCTCAACTTGGTCGGAGCGTCAGAGACCTTGTGAAACGTACCTAGTCCTGTGTCCTACGCCATAGCATTCGTGATTTCCAGCATTGGATCAATGACATATAAACTCATCTTATTACGTTTACAAAGGACTGAATTCCTAACTAAAATTGCCTACTATTATATGATATTCATAATTCGTTCCCAAATTAGGCAAGGAATTACGAGGCGCACCCCGGAGCATAACATTAGGATGCGGGCTTCCTTGTAATTTTGTAATGTCATGGGCAGGGTCGCTTCAACACCTGCTCCATGTCTCCCTTTAAACATTTCTAGCAAATCATAAGAAGTTTTTTTATTCCCCTTTTTAAGACTTTTTCGAGTCTTTACTTATTCAGGACAGATCTCAACTTGTTAATCCCTGACATCGAGCTAATTTATTCAGCCTTGATCAAAATTAGATAATCGTCTTATGTATCTAATCTAAAAATAATATTTCTCAAAAATATTCACGAAGCAAAACAAGGCTTTAGCTCTACAATAATGGTTGCAGAGTTTGTTTGTTTACACATCCGATAGTTGTGTGGGGCAGTCGTTAACTTGCATCGCCAAGCCAAGTGCACTCGTGTCAAGCTTGCGCCTGGCTTAGAACAGACAGGGATGACAACAAAACCGCAGAACATTATGGAAAGAGCAAATTAGGGATACAAGGCCGGCGAGATAAATCATTAATTCAGAATGTTTCAATGCATATGTACATAAATCAGTAGGCACAAAGCGACTAGTCAGCCTCGTTCAAAACATGATTCACTAACACCATTAAAGACTATTTTAATCACTTATGAATTCTTTTAGTCTAGAAATAATTGTATTAAAAAGTATTGACTACAAATTTAATTTGCAGAACAAATGAAACAATATATGGAAGCAAAGTATCCGAGAAATATGGAATGAATAAAAGAGTGAACATCAGTTCAAGATCGAATACATTAAAAAATAAAATAAATTAATAATTAAAGAAAAAGAAAGAAAGAAGGAAAGAAAGAATAAATGACAATGGGCAGAATAAAAAAATCACTATCGGGAAACCTTCGAATCCAATTAATTTGCGAGAGAAAAATAGAAAATCTATCAGAAACGTACATTCTGGGAAGGCCTGCTAATCGGAAGTTATCATTTACAAGAAGCTTCTGACCAAAAGATACTTGATTGGCATATTAGAAGACAACAAAGAGAGCAAGGTGGATTCATAAAAGATAAGAACTTGCATAAATTATATGCGGAACATTCTGCTAGGATATGGACGAAGGTAGAATCGTCTATATTCGATTTGCGCAGCATTAGGTATTTACACACACAAGCATTATAACAGACACAGACAGAAATAAAATTAGTATACGAAATCAGACGACGTAATAATCGTTCAGAGATTGGTTCGGCTAAATATAGCGAGAGGTGAGGCTGTATGATGCGGTAATCTTCTTCAGTGCAATATGGATATAATCATTTGCTTTCATTTAAGAAATATAAAGATATATATGCGGATTAAGGTTAGTAGTGTTAATCATAAATGGTAAACAAGATTGCTATGTACAGACAATAGTCATGCCGGCCCTATTAAGTTAATAAACAACAAACATACCCACAGAACGAGCATACCATTCAGAACATGTTCATTGGGAAAAAGGCAAATAAGTACCTCATCAATGATTGAAGTGTGTAATAAAAATGATAAAAACATAAAATAAGTTCAAGAGAAATATCACATTCGGCCGGAACTACACGAGATCGAGGGGGCGTAGTGAGAGCCAATATTTTGTGGTGCACTGTTTACACAAGCTAGATAAAATATATAAACAAAGCACACAGGTATAATGAAGAGAAAGAACTTAATCAGTAAAGTACAATTAACATTATGCGTTGTGTTTACATTGAACGGAGGGACTGATTGGATTATCATCACATATTATCAAGTACTATAATGCCCAATGCACAACTGATTCATTTTAGAATGAATTGAATATTATCAGGCTGAGGCCTCACTAGTTGGGGTAGAGGAGATCAAGTTGGCTGATTCAGGCTGGGAACCCATTTCATGCTTCGTAAATAAGGAAGGATAGGTTGAGGTAAAAGAGGAAGACGGGGAGGAGCTGGGAAGATAACCCATGATTAGGGGTTTTCCAAGATCAACTTGAGAATGGGGCTCTTCTACAACTACCGTGGCCACAACAACGGAGCTTTCGACTCGTTTTGGCTGGCTAGGCATGGAAATATCTATTACGTCAGCTTCAAGGTCACTCGGTGCGGATCGCAAAGCATCTGTGCAAGTGGAAGAAGCCGAATCTTCCGCATGAATGGGATCGAGGATAACTGAAGAGGGGCCCCGATTAGCTTGCTGATCAGTCGTAATCCAAGAGGTTGGATCTGCAGTCAGGCATGGCACTAGATCTTGGTCGACAGATACCCCCTGACCAGATTGGGGCTGGGATGCAGAAGATGAAAAGGTGAACGAGTGGTCGGTGCTGGGGGCACTCATTCTTTTAGACTCGGGTGAGATCAGCCATGCGAACAAATGCTGACCAAGAAGATGAACCGATTCTTGTGCAGCCAGTGGAGCCATGAAGCCTAGAGGTTTTCGGAGTGACCTTCGTCTCCAGCTCCTCGGCTGTCGATTCAAGGTGGAAGTGACAAAGTTGGGATGCCTAGATGAATCCACAGAGTGTGAATTAAGTTGGCCAAAGAGAAGGCGGCTCGCAGATGAAGACAATCGAGTCATAAAAGAAATAGCACCCGTAATTCGAGAACGACGGCATCCTGTCTCTTCAGCGACAGACGCCTTAATAGTCCTATGGAGGTCGAGCTGGTTACCATCTTCCTCTTCAACTTCTTCTTCAAGGCCTGACAAATTTGGTAGGACAACACCGCCCCGGCAGACCGGATGAACTGTGGTGGAGCAAAATTTTGAACTGGGTTGGAAGGCAAATTTTACAAGGAAATCGGCATCAACATCGGCGTCATCAGCTCTTTCCGAGACAATAGTAGTAACCGTTCCATTGGGATGCAGGCTAGGACAACGGAGTGAAACAGAAGACTTACTTAAGGATCCGGGGGCTGATGATGCCAGAGAGCGACACGAGTCACAGAGCAGACTAAGGTGTGTCTGCTAAAGGTGAAAGAAAGGGAAATGAATAAAAGATAGTTAATATTAAAATTACAATAAAAGATGCTATGGAATCATCCCAAAGTTAAACATTAAAACTATGAGATAAAAGACAACTTTAGCTGATTAAGCATAGAAAATAATCGGAGCACATCCAAGTAACTAAAAGATGTTGTAATAAGACGATATAAAATCGATGGATTCGATGAAATCAATGACTAGATAATAAGAATTTTTATGGCAAAAATATAGTGTATAATGTGGAGAACGAAAATACTGATAATATGTTCGGAGACTGCGAGGTAAAATAAAATCCGTAAAAGTATGGAATAACATAAAAATTTCAATTAATATTAGAGAAATGATTAAAAGAATAAGAATATGGCATTCAGAAATTAATAAAATCTATTTTTCGAATATAAGTAGAATTTCGAGACTATTAATAAATCAGTTACATGAGATGTATTCACTCTATTTCGTTTAAGGTAATAAAAGACTGGTAGTAGAATTTTCCCACAATGATATGAGTAGAGTTGACGTTTCCATCGAATTTCGCATAGTCTTGCTTTCCAAAAAGTTGCTCTTATCCAAGGTGGACTGGAGTTTCGACCTCGCATAGGTCTTATCAACATCCCTAACAGGAATCGAACCGTGACATTGCAGCATGAGGGCTTGACACGTTAACCACTCAGCCACATTGACACAAGTGCCCTTGGGTCACAGGGCAGAGGTGAATTGCAAGGAAGGCCAGGCTTTTTCCCATATCACATTCTTTGGTGGGAGTGTCGATGGAGCAAGCATATTATCTCTATAGCAATTAACTACATTACTTATTGAAATTGTTTGACCTTGTTTTCGCAACTTGGTCATATTGGTAGGAAGACTAATAGAAAAGCACCTTGTCCTGAGACCATTGTATGCATAATTATTTTCAGTCGGACCGTGAACGCGGTATATTCCCAGACGTTTCGCTATCGTAGTCGGCATCGTCAGTGAGTTTTACCATTCGTAGCACTATCTTACAACTCGTCAAAGAGACAAGTGAAGCCGATCCATCAGTGAGTTTTACCATTCGTAGCACTATCTTACAACCGTCAAAGAGACAAGTGAAGCCGATCCATTGACCAAATGTGTGCTAAACAGTTATGATATCTCCCGTTCACATTCCCAGACGTTTCGCCGGCATCGTCAGTGAGTTTTACCATTCGTAGCACTATCTTACAACTCGTCGGAGACAAGTGAAGCTGATCCTTTGAAGTGAGTTTTACCATTCGTAGCACCATATTACAACTCGTCAAAGAGACAAGTGAAGCCGATCCTTTGACCAAACCCGTGCTAAACGGTTATGGTATCTCCTATTCTGCCCTGGCATATTCACATTTACTATATCCTCAAATCACGCCTTCACTGTCACAATATTTTACTTGCTTAATTAAATGTAGTACGGTGTGCCCTTTTTTTAAAAGCGGCTTATATCAGAACCCTCCGCACTCCACGATGGCTTTCACACCACCCTTCATCCTTGTGCTGGGAATGTTCATCTGAGTCTGCCATATTGTTACGCGGTC